GCGATACATGTCCCCATCCATCCTCCCCTCAATACAGTGCAGTCGTCCTGTCCCCTTTGCAGAAAAGCATCCCCAAAGAATGATGTTTCCACCTCCATGCTTCACAGTTGGGATGGTGTTCTTGGGGTTGTACTCATCCTTCTTCTTCCTCCAACCACGGCGAGTGGAGTTTAGACAAAAAAGCTCAATTTTTGTCTCATCAGGCCACATGACCTTCTCCCATTCCTCCTCTGGATCATCCAGATGGTCATTGGCAAACTTCAGACGGGCCTGGACATGCGCTGGCTTGAGCAGGGGGACCTTGCGTGCGCTGCAGGATATTAATCCATGACCGCATAGTGTGTTACTAATGGTTTTCTTTGAGACTGTGGTCCCAGCTCTCTTCAGGTCATTGACCAGGTCCTGCCGTGTAGTTCTGGACTGATCCCTCACCTTCCTCATGATCATTGATGCCCCACGAGGTGAGATCTTGCATGGAGCCCCAGACCGAGGGTGACTGACCATCATCTTGAACTTCCATTTTCTAATAATTGCACCAACAGTTGTTGCCTTCTCACCAAGCTGCTTGCCTATTGTCCTGTAGCCCATCCCAGCCTTGTGCAGGTCTACAATTTTATCCCTGATGTCCTTACACAGCTCTATGGTCTTGGCCATTGTGGAGAGGTTGGAGTCTGTTTGATTGAGTGTGTGGACAGGTGTCTTTTATACAGTTAACGAGTTCAAACAGGTGCAGTTAATACAGGTAATGAGTGTAGAACAGGAGGGCTTCTTAAAGAAAAACTAACAGGTCTGTGAGAGCCGGAATTCTTACTGGTTGGTAGATGGTCAAATACTTATGTCATGCAATAAAATGCAAATTAATTACTTAAAAATCATACAATGTGATTTTCTGGATTTTTGATTCCGTCTCTCACAGTTGAAGTGTACCTATGATAAAAATTACAGACCTCTACATGCTTTGTAAGTAGGAAAACCTGCAAAATCGGCAGTGTATCAAATACTTGTTCTCCCCACTGTATGTATGTATGCATGCATGCATGCATGCATGCATGTATGTATGTACAGTGAGGGAAAAAAGTATTTTATCCCCTGCTGATTTTGTACGTTTGCCCACTGACAAAGACATGATCAGTCTATAATTTTAATGGTAGGTTTATTTGAACAGTGAGAGACTGTTTTCCCTCACTGTATGTATGTATGTATGTATGTATGTATGTATGTATGTATGTATGTATGTATGTATGTATATATATATATATATATAGTCCTGACAACCTCTCCCCCACCCCACCCACGAACACAGGAAGGAAATGGACACTTGTTCTTTCCCCAACAAATCAGCGCAGCAACAATGACAAAGGGCACAAATAAAATTCTAAAACAAAAAATGGCAATCGGATATATGAAAACGACAAGTAAAAAAAATTGTACGGTAAGCTTGTTTTCCTACTTACAAGATTTATAAGAAAGGAGAATTTGACAAATGTAGCTGCAAGATAATAGAAATGGGAAACAAATCAAAGAACAGCATTGATACGATAAGATATGTATTATTCGTGGTCCAAGATTTCAAAATGGTTCTTTGTTTTTAGGACTTTTCGTGGTGATATTTCTAGGTGCTCTCAACCCTTTACACTTGTGGGAATGCATTACCATGGTAGCAATCAAAAGGGAACAGTTTGGAGATTATGGGAAAATTATTAGACTAAAGGTGGGGACAAAACAGTTAATAATAATGTTGATTTTATGTGCATTTTATATTTACTGTACTTTTCACCACATTTGTTGAGAACGAAATCTGAAAATACTCTGGATACATTCAGTAACATGATAAGAATATTCATGAGAAATTACAAGGGTTTGAGAGGTCTGACTGGTGTCTCCAAGTGGCCACATCCTGTACCTCTCCAAAGTGTGCACAGTTCCTACATAATTTCAATGCACTTTTATGACTCAAAGAGTCTTCAATTAGAAGGTGCTTTTTTTGAGCTCTCCTAGCTGTGCCGTTGAGGAACTAGAGCAAGCAGACTTTTAGTTGTTTGGAACACAGCCCTGCATCCCCGCCATCACACAATTACTGTTGTTTACGCATTCCAAAAACAGTGGGCATCATTTGAAAGCGTGTTCTACTGCCAACATGGCTAGCTAAATTACAAAATACGATCTTACGGTGTTAGGCTTTCACAAGGCAATTCTGAGAAACAGATGGTCATTTTGGTGCGCATAGAATAGAGTGACGAGTGCATTCAGATGCGTGGTCCCTGCACATGTCTTCACAATACGACAAACATAGGCTCATTCTGTTCAGAACAACCCAGGGTATGACGTCATGTCATCTTGTAACTGTACATCATAATGATCATAAACGTTGACCTTGTATATTACATGAGTTCTATGATATGGAAATGTGAAGTGCACATTTGGACTAACTGGTGTTTGGCTTGCTTGCACGACATCAAAGCGGTATTTGTTATAAACCTCAATGTCTCATCTTTCAAAATACATTTACTTTATTTACATTCCCTCACTCAGTTGTCCAATTAGCGGGAGGGATGGGGCAACTTCTTGTCGTGTGTGGTGTTCAAGTTCAGAAACGCTGTCAGTCAAAACCAATACTGTGCTTTAAAGCGTTGACCTTGAGCTCTGACGTCATGTATAGCATGTTACTGTACAGCCACTACGTTCCCATTTAAGTGCTTATCAGTGTACAAATCTGCCATTTCGAACCCGTATACGGGTACGGCTGTAAAGAGTTAACATCAGTGTCAACAAAAGACATAGATAGTCGAAACAACCATTATACAAACAATATCATTACACAACTGAAAACTAAACCAAAAGATATTTCATAAACTATGTCTCCTGAACCTATTTGGACTAACTCCTTCACTGACACTCAGAATAGAGTTTTGAAACAAAGTTAAAGAAATATGCAACATAGCCTAGATCAACTGAAAGACCACATTTTCCATAAAAATAGAGGATAGAACTCACAAGAATCATACTGGCAGCCATCCTATCAATTTCTCACAATTGGAGATGAAGACTAACATCTAACAGCTAGCATCATCCCAACTGAAATTCCCTTTGGCAGCTATTGACACAATGCACTGTCAATTACAAACAGTAAGACCAGCTCAGGGTTTTGTTGTAGAGATCACAGAGGAGTGGAAGCCTGAGCTTAAAGGGATAGTGCGACATTTAGGCAATTAAGCCCTTTTCTCTACTTACCCAGTCAGATGAACAGCATGCTAGCTGTTCCTGTAGACTTCCAGTCATTGCGCTAACGCTAGTTAGTAATGGCTCCAGAAACTACCTTCAACTTCCTTCAAACAAAATTGTATCCAAGTTCATCAGACCCTGGGTAAGTAGAAAAAAAGGCTTCATTGCCAAAATGTCACACTATTCCTTTAAGATCAGGCTTCCACTCCCCTCTGATGTGCACTATCACTTTAAGTTTTCTTTTAATTTTTTTTACCCTTATTTCTCCCCAATTTCATGATATCCAATTGGTAGTTACAGTCTTGTCCCATTGCTTCAACTCCCCTATGGACTCGGGAGAGGCGAAGGTCGAGAGCCATGCATCCTCCGAAACACGACCCTGCCAAGCCGCACTGCTTCTTGACACACTGCTCACTAACCCGGAAGCCAGCCGCACCAATGTGTCCGAGGAAACACCGTCCAGCTGGCGACCGAGTCAGCTTGCAGGAGCCCGGCCCACCACAAGGAGTCGCTAGAGCTCGATGGGACAAGGAAATCCCGGCCGGCCAACCCCTCCCGTAACCCAGACGACGCTGGGCAAATTGTGCGCCGCCTCATGGGTCTCCCGGTCACGGCCGGCTGTGACACAGCCTGGGATCGAACCAGGGTCTGTAGTGATGCCTCAAGCACTTCCTTAGACCGCTGCGCCACTCGGGAGGCCCCTTTAAGTGTTTTCACAGGTATGCAACTAAATCAAGTAGGCCTACAATCCAGGATATATCACCACAATTCCCTCCGCACACCACTTTATCCAACTGAAGACCACTGGCTCATCTCCACTTTATCCAACTGAAGACCACTGGCTCATCACCACTTTATCCAACTGAAGACCACTGGCTCATCACCACTTTATCCAACTGAAGAGCACTGGCTCATCTCCACTTTATCCAACTGAAGACCACTGGCTCATCACCACTTTATCCAACTGAAGACCACTGGCTCATCACCACTTTATCCAACTGAAGAGCACTGGCTCATCTCCACTTTATCCAACTGAAGACCACTGGCTCATCTCCACTTTATCCAACTGAAGAGCACTGGCTCATCTCCACTGCTAAATGAAACTGACTCAATATTGTGGCTTGTGTGGGCCAGCAGTTAGTGCCACAGACCCCGGGACACACATGTATGCCCTCGACTCTCTCGTCTCCTCTTCACTGTCCTATGCCAATAAAACCACCAAAAACAAAAATAAATGAAACCGCAAAAATAGTAGAGAAGGGAGATTATTCTGAGATGAACGATGGTGGATCGGTATCGTGGTCACAATGCTAAAGTGCACTGGCCAATTGTTTTACCAGAGATGTCAGTTCATCTTGCAGGTTGGAATAAAATACAAAAATGGCATAAGGAAATGACATGTAAGACAAATAACACCATGGGTGCATCTCAATAGTCTGAAGTGGATTCATCTTCTTGTCTCCTTTCGTTTCATCCACTGGTCTGAAGGAGTAGAAATGGTGAATACCATTTCCCAGATGAACATCCTGCATATCCTTTTGGAATGGGCCATGTTCATTAGGCAAATGTGGAACATTCATTTACAGATAGAAATATCGGAATAGAGCTGACGTGATTGCTCTATATAATATATTTCTATATGAATGTTTCACAACATCCCTGGCCTGTGTTTTCACAGCTAAATAAGAGACAATAAAGGAAAGGAAGCAACTTTAGACTATTGAGACGCACCCAGTACTAATCAAACCAGTTTTTGACACTTAACCTCCGACCCTGACCTTACCAGTCAAGCTATTGTCTCGGCTCAGGCCCGTGTGGAGCTTGCAGTGCACCAGTGCGGCGTCAAACAGCCACTGGCCAAACAGGTTGAGGACACTGTTGACCTTGGGCCTAGTGGGGGCGGGCAGCGGCCGGGGCTCAGAGCTGGTCAGGTTGGGGCTGGACAGGGGAGAGGTGGAGGACGGCTGGTGGGACACTTTGGGTTGGTGCGTCATATTCGCCTGGATGGGTAGGAGGGTGGGGGATAACCAGGAATGAATTAATTCACTGTCAAACGGGCATATTAAGAATATAAATGTTATGGGACATTAATATTTATTCCCATGATCGTCTGAGGCTTCCTTGGCAAAGGGATGCCGTATTTCTCCCATTTTACTTCAGATCTCGATTTTACTCTGATACAAATGGGCCATCTGAGGAAAAAACTACTCTGGTGTAGGAACCTACTGTGGAGGTTTTACTGGCCGTCTTGATGACCCCCGTGGGTTTGTTGCGGCGGCTGTGAGGGGGCGTGGTGTTGGTGGTGGTGGGGGGCGGCGGCACGCTCAGTCTGTTGATAGGGGTGGGCGGGGCACTGTCCGACCGGGGGCGGGAGATACCTGAGGGAGAGAGAGAGGAGGCGCATCAGAGGATATTCTGGTGTTTCAGGTGAAAACAGCAAGGACCAATCGGGTCCCATTTCCCCTCCACCCATATTTTGGTTAGAAGCGCCACTCGGATCAGGGAGGATGTTAGTAACGTCAACATTGGCAGCTCATCATCTTTGCGGTTCACCCTTCCTCCACAAGAGAGAAAGATACCAGCTCAAAATGCACAAGCCATGTGATGTGGATAGATGTCTTCTTTGCTGGGTGATATTCACCACAGATAAAGGAACAATGTAAAACATTTATAAAAATAAGTATATACATTTTTTTTTAAGAGAGAAAAATCCACACCACAATACATCGAGCAAGTTTCCCAATGTCACATTTTCCCTTCATAGCCTTGGGGTGGCTAGATAGCTAATTTTGATTGACAACACTTTACTTATTCAGATGCTTGGCGCAGACTATCAAACAGATACATGCATATAGTTACTGTCCACACTGACATCGATTTGGGTGAGTGCTTCACATTACCACATGGATCAAACCCTCTAAACCTCTTTCTGCAATTTTCAGTGAAGCCCAAAACAATTTATAGGTAAACTGGGTTTCTGTATAAGCACTTTGTGACATCTGCTGATGTAAAAAGGGCTTTATAAATACATTTGATTGATTGATAGCCATCTTTCACAGATTTCAGCACTGATGATGCAACGTGGTGCACCAAACTGCTGCAGATGCCAATTGGACTGTATGGTCCGTTTAGTGGGTTTGCTAGCTAAGCTAACGAGGATATGTTTTATAAACACAAGTCTTGAAGCAACTTGACATACATTGCCACGGTGATGCTGCCACACACACTACACAATGTCTCTCCAAACACGCCATGGAAGATTATGACAACACTTTCCCCAACCAATTATCTCCATTATAACTTTCAAAGTTGATCAAATCTATTTTCTGGTTGATAAGGAAGGATAAGAGCAGGTTTGATTGTCATAAACAGTCATACCTTGCTATATCATCCATTATGCATTTATATTGACAGAATCATGAAAGGCTGCTTCAATTCAAGTGTACCTAAAAAGCTCCCAATAGTATAGTCAAAGCGAGGGGTTATTACTAACAGGCCTATACTGTAAATGTGTAATGCTTTTCTACTAGCCTATATGAAAAGACCCAAAATACAGGGGTAGGGAAGTGAGGTTTTCAGGATTGAGACTGTTTGTCGCTGCGGTCCTGAAAGTGATTATGGATTTAAAAGGGCATGTCCACCATTTTTCAACCTCATATTCATAATCTCCAGCACCAAACCAGTGTTTACATATGTGAAAACAGCACATTTCTAAGTGATTAAAAAGATAAGGTCATAAGAAAAAATAATGATTTTTATAAGATTAAAAGTAAACAAACTGTGATTTCCAAAACCTGCAACAAGTTTCTAGCCCAAGGGAGGGTATTTTCTTGCTCTCCACATCACAGCGAATCTCAGTTAGTGTTTTTAAAATGTTGAAACGTTTTATGATGTCCTCAGGTAGAACTTTTAACTTCATATTTGTTTCTACAAAAGTGCCATTTTCACATATGTTGACACTGGTATTGTGCTGGAGATAATGAAAATGAGGTTTAAAAGTGGTGGAGTTGCCCTTTAAGTGCATGCACCAGCTACGTTCACCACACAAATCAGCTTTTTGCCAACCCCAGCAAATCCATCAAAATGTATTCAGCTCCCTTTATGATTGTTTGGGAGCAAACTACTACAGAGTACCATAGGAGGGCATGGAGTGAAGCCTTTCTCGGAAATTGTTCCTAGACACGGCGGCACCTGAAGGAAAGAAAGTGGTCAAAGCACAGCCTGGAATATCAGAACGCCGACAAACCAACCATGACAACATTCACCTGTTCTTTTGGCAGCTGACACAGCCATCGATCAAAATGAAGAATCAAAAACAACTTCGCAGTTTCACATTCTGACACGGTGAATGTTTTTTTTTCCTCCCATAGATGTGTATGAGTATGTTGTTTTTCGTGACTGTAGAAGTGTGGCACCTTTTGTCTTATGCCCAAACACCACTACAGGAAATCCAGTTCGTTATGTCCACAGACGCCTGTGCAATGTTAATGATTGGATTTGATTGGGTTAGGTCCGGTTTAATAGTGTACCTAGAGAGGGAAGTCTGTCACGTATATTGGTCCTAGGAGAAACTGTCACTCCTGAGGGAGAGAGAGACACTAGCGCTGTTTCTGGGGACGAAGAAGAAGAAACTAGAACAAGAAAGAAAAAGAGAAAAATGACAGAAAAGCTGAAACACAAAATGGAGGTTTAGTTGTTGGGCCAAATAACTGCTCAACAAGTTATGAAGTTATGTTAGGTATTTATTAAAGACGTTCTGTGTTTGTGCACTGTACTGTAAGACATAATTGGCCACATAGCTAATCCTAGTCTGCGATTTTCAAAATGGGGGTCTACTACTATTAACCAAAAGATGAATCGAAGTAGTGTTGCGTTGCATGCTAGAAACAATGTATGTGTTTCTTTAAACATGGGGATGTCAAGAGATTTAGGGAAGTATATAGACTGCGTGACAGTGCTTTGATTAAGTATAGGGCCAAAATGCAGAGAGGTCTGCTTGAGTTCAGAAATACAAACATGGTTGAAGTCTAAGACTGTTGGGAGGTGTAGAGCAGGGCATTCCAACTCTGTTCCTGGACCCTCCTAATTAGGGTTGGAGTGAAAACCTACAGGACGGTAGCTCTCCAGGAACAGGGTTGGAGAGCCCTGGTGTAGCTCAACGGGCACAAGACAGTAGAGAAATGAAATGAGAAAATTACAATAAAGCTCTTTTCATTTGAAAATGTCTGGTTCTTGTTTAAAAGCCAGTAAACAAGCCAGGACAAGTTGAGGGGTCAACCCATTAACAAAAGCCTTTAGTCGTTGCTGGTCATAAAATCAAGGTGTTACTAAGTCAAATAACATCTTTCCATGCTTTCCATGATCATTGTCCACAAAATCAGAACCCTTTTACCCTTCATTTGAATGACAAAGACGCAGTTTACTAAGTACCATAAGAGGGCAGTTTCTCTCGAATCTCTCTCTTTGCGACCCCAACACCTAGAGGGGACGGAAGATGTACATGATCTCTTGGTCAGAAGTTCTCCAGCAAAACACGAGAACTGAAGGGATTGGATATGTGTAAGAAATATGAAAAAATCTCCAGCCAGCCTATCAGTGGACAACATGGAACTAATATCATTACATACCTATCCAATTTTTAAGGGCCCGTATTAAGAAATTGTCTCGGAGTAGGGAATGCTGATCTGGAATCAGGTCAACACCCTCGTCGATGTCATCTTATTAATTACGATATATAAGGGAAAAACTGATCCTTGATCAGCACTCCTACTCTGAGAAGCTTTATGAATACGGGCCCTGATCTACATGAATTGCCTAGAGGAAGAGGCTAGGGGATGTTTCTGGACAGGGCCAAAGTCAACTGTAACAGTATGGATAAAAAGCAATGCTAAGGTGAGGTGAGGTAGTCTTACCCAGGAAGGCGTCCACCAGGCAGCTGACCCCCCTCATGGCCCTGAAAAAGATCTGGGGCAGTTGCTTGAGACAGGGGTGATGTTGGATCACCTCCTGGGGTACGCCGCTCACCCCCAGCAGCTGCTCCTGGAACTTTGGCGTGGAGCTGACCGTCAAAGGGCTGCTCAGGTCCACCGGGTTACTGCAAGAGAAGGAGCGGGAGGGGGGACTTTTAATGTCGAGGTGCAAAAATTGGTCCTGAGCATGTTATTTCTCTCCACAACCCAGCCATGAGAGAGTAACAGTTACATTGATGTAGCCTATTACAATATTTACTACAATATTTCCCCAGATCACTTTCTTAGATCATCTAGAATCATTTTCTTGTACCTTTGGATAAAAAAAAGTGAGGTCCATCCAGTATGTTCTTCATTGAAATAAACAGTGTGATCTGTCTCGGATGATGATCCAAAAAAAGTCATCCCAGTATCATTTTATTATACTAAAATTAGGTCATCGGGGAGCATTTATACCGAATCCATTCCAGGTGTAAACAGTAATAACTCTTATTCTGTGACACAGACCCAGATAGCTAGCTGTGTGGAACTCACCTCAGCATGTGCAGAAAGCGGAACCAGGTCTGAGCCACACAGTCATTGTCCATCTCAGTAGGGATGAGGTTGGCCTCCTCCTCTGGGACTTTGTACAGAGGGAAGGACGGACCGTAGGTGAACCGCAACAGTCTGTGCCAAAACAGAACATTTACACTTTCCATTTCAACCATTTCTTATTTGAACATTAACAAACATTTTTTTATCTAGAAATGACTGCTGAGAGAAATGACTCCTGCCTGTTATCCAACTAGTTTTGTCCTACCTGAACTTGAGCACTCACATATGTTTCAAAACGTTATGCCCTACTGAACGGGACCCATATGTTTGAGCACTGAGCGTAAACAAAAGCCTGCAAACACAGGGTTGGCGACCACTGGTCTTGTTGTGGTGTGGCTACCTGGAGGTGAGGGCAGCAATGACCTTGCTCCACTGCTCCACCACGGGCGGGTGGTGCCTCCAGTTGGCCAGCATCTCCCTGGCCGTCTTCCAGTAGGGCGGCGTGGGGAAGCAGCGTGTGCAGGCCATGAACCACACCTCAAACAGAACGCTGATCAGCTTCTCAGCCAGCTTCTCCGCTATCCCACCTGAGAGAGTTGGGGGATGGCGGACAGGGGTGAGTAACTTTGAATAGGAAGAATGTTCTGGGTGCATAAAATAGCATATGAGAAAGAACACTGCATCTTCATTTGGAACTAAATAGTAATATTAGCAACTAAGTCAATTAACTTAGTCAAAGCCAAAACCATTATGGGACAAATCCTAATATCCACTTATTAATTATGTATTGATATCAATGGGAGACTAAGTAAAAATTTGACTTAAGTGGATGTTAGAAGTTCCCCACGACACTACGAAAAGTACTCAAAGGCTGCCTATACACAGGCAGCCCAATTCTGATATTTTTCTACTAATTGGTCTTCTGACCAATCAAATCAGCTCTTTTGACGATAATTGGGCAAAAGATCAGAATTGGGCTGCCGGTGTAAAGGCAGCCTAATTGCATCTGTTCCGATGGACTGACCTCCGACAGTGGGCGGGGCTAGCAGAGTGTCATTTATGCGTAGCAGGAAGAGCAGCAACACCTCCCAGGTCTCCCGGGCCATGCCGCTGCCCGAATCCCTGGCCAGCTTCAGCACTGCCGTCAGCACCTGCTGGCACAGCCGGAAGTGCATGGGGCTGTAGTGCTCCGGCCTAAAAGAGGAGGGAGGGAGGTGAAGAAAGAGAGAGTTGGGGACCACATTTATAAAGAGAAGCCTGTTATAAACCTCTTCCATACTCCGTTCTCTCTAAGCCTTGTGATTTGGTTTGATGAACTATTGGAGGGTATCTGTCCCTATTTAGAATTACCATGTTACATAAGCAATGTACTGCAACCTTTAGAGATTGGAGCCTTAAGGTCAAGAAGTTGTAATGTAGAACATTGCATAAGATACCCCATAGTTAGCGGTTAGCTAGAGCGTAGACATACAGTTAGCTGTTAGCTATAGCGTAGACACACAGTAAGCTAGAACGTAGACACACAGTTAGCGGCTAAATAGAGCGTAGACACACAGTTAGTGGGTAGCTAGAACGTAGGCACAGAGTTAGCGGCTAGCTAGAGCGTAGACACACAGTTAGCGGCTAGCTAGAGCGTAGACACACAGTTAGCGGCTAGCTAGAGCGTAGACACACAGTTAGCGGCTAGCTAGAGCGTAGACACACAGTTAGCAGCTAGCTAGAGCGTAGACACACAGTTAGCGGCTAGCTAGAGCGTAGACACACAGTTAGCGGCTAGCTAGAGCGTAGACACACAGTTAGCAGCTAGCTAGAGCGTAGACACACAGTTAGTGGGTAGCTAGAACGTAGGCACAGAGTTAGCGGCTAAATAGAGCGTAGACACATTGTTAGCCAGAGAGCTTAGACACAAAGTTAGCGGCTAACTAGAACGTAGACAACAGTTAGCCAGAGAGCGTAGACATACAGTTAGCTTGTACCTGGGCATGAAGAGGTTGTGGAGGTGTTTGAGGATGGTCTGCACGTAGAAGTTGGGCTCCTTGACGATGGGCTGGGGGATGGAGTTGCGAGGAGTGACCAGCGCCATCATCCAGTCCGTGTAGACGTCCACACACAGCTTGACCGTGTCCCCGTCCAGAGGAAGGGTCAGGCCGTAGCAGAGCACCTCCATCGTCCACTTCACCTGTAAATCACATCACACAGAGAACTCTGTTGTTAGAAAGAGGTGGATGCATTGGACAAGCTGGACAGTCAGATGTCATGTCAGTGATTGCTGAATACATGGGGACAGGGTGGATTCATGTTTTAACACTTGAAAGCCAATCAAAATAAGATGGCCTAATTGTGCGTTAAGTTAAAAAGAAGTGTTTAGGCCTAATTATTATGATTGTCGTGAAATTAGCTCATTTCAAACACAGGGCTAAAGGGATGGTTCATCTAATTTGGAGAGGTAGGTGAACTAGAGCATGGTGGAACCAGCCTTGCAACGTTCACCATTCTATATCACTTCACGTGTCAAAACAGGAAGGTGAAGACAGCTATTAGGGCTCTGTACCGGTACCCCCTGTATATAGCCTCCCTACTGTTATTTTATTTTACACCTGCTCTTTATTATTTAATTATAAAAAATAAAAATAAAAACGTATCTATTATTTTCTTAAAAACTGCATTGTTGGTTAAGAGCTTGTAAGTAAGCATTTCACTAAGGGTCTACATCTGTTGTATTCGGCGCATGTGGCAAATAAAATTTGATTTGATTTGACTAGGCTGGTTCCACCATGCTAGGTGAACTATCCATTTATTTAACAAATACAGTATTATCCTAAAATACTACCATCTCAAATATGGGATGGTTGTACAAAACACAAGCCCTACAAGCTGTTACATAGCCCAGTGCTATGTTAATAGAATTATCAGGCAAACTAAAACCAGCAGGAAAGACAAGGAGGCACTTAATAAGAGAATGCGTACATTCTTTGGCAGATGGCTTACATTTTTCCTTAGCCTGGCCCTATTACAATCAAGCCATTCCTCTAAATGGCTGCTGGGACTGGGACTGGGGCGAGCTCAAGGAGCCGTAGTCCACTGGGGTGGAGAAACAGTCAATAAAGTTGCAGGGGTCGAATGCCCCAGGGGGATACACAGGAAATCCTCTCAATGTTATCAAGCGAGCCCAGAGGCCTGGGGCTGTCCGAGCGACAAGGCAAACATGATGAGGAAGTGAGCAGCAAGGACAAAAGGGGGTAAAGCCAAATACTATTTTTCACCCAGCAACAATCAGAGAGAGAAGAGATTTGAAAACACAATGGAATGTAGAGGGGGAGGTGGTGTGTGTGTGTGTGTGTGTGTGTGTGTATGGGTTTCAATCAAGCGTGCAGTACAAAAAAAATAAAAAATAAAAAAGTTTCCATTCGCCAGGAGGTAGTTGAGTCCTAATGTGCAGGTGACCGTTCAGCCTCCTTGGTTTTATAAAAATAAGGGACTGAAAAAGCCCATCAAGGGCGTGTTAAGGTCATGTAGCTTATGTTCTGCCTAGTTCCTCAAACACAATGTCAGAGGAACTTGGAGCTAAAGACGGAAGAAACTTTTACTTTTCAATTAGAATAAGTGCCAATGAAGTTGACCTTGACATTAAAATACCCTCCCCATACATAGAGCAAACATCAACTACCCTAGAAACAAGTTGGCATTCTAACTTCACTTTCTATTCCCCTTGAATGTAAAATGCTGCAACAATTGGGCCAAGTCAAGTCAAATCTCAGCCTACAGGGAGGAGGTCAGTGACCTGGCAGTGTGGTGCCAGAACAACAACCTCTCCCTCAACGTCAGTAAGACCAAGGAGCTGATCGTGGACTACAGGAAACAGGGGGAGAGGGGGAGAGGGGTTGAGCACGCCCCATCCACATCGACGGGGCCGCAGTGGAGGAGGTTGAGAGCTTCAAATTCCTCTGTGTCCAAATCACTATAAAGTCATGAAAACATTGTCCAAACACACGCGCACAGTAGTGAAGAAGGCGTGACAGCGCCGCTTCCCCCTCAGGAGGTTGAAAAAGTTTGGCATGGGCCTTGAAATCCTAAAAAAGTTCTACAGCTGGACCATTAAGAGCATTTTGACTGGCTGCATCACTGCCTGGTATGGCAATAGCACCGCCCTCGATCGCATGGCTCTACAGAGGGTGGTGCAGACAGCCCAGTACATCACTGGGACCGAGCTCCATGCCATCCAGGACATCTATATCAGGCGGTGTGGTAGGAAGGCCCGGAAAATGGTTAAAGACTCCAACCACCCAAGCCATAGACTATTCTCTTTGCTTCCGCACGGCAAGCGGTACTGGTGCATCAAGTCTGGCACCAACAGGCTCTTGAACAGCTTCTATCCCCAAGCAATAAGACTGATAAATAGCTAACAAAATAGCTACACAGACTGAGTCAACCTTGTATCCTCATTGACCTTTTTCTTTTAGTCTCTATGCACACTCACAGGGCCCTACACATTCACACATAACATGCACGTAAAGCGGCTAGCAAAAGTATTCACCCCCCTTGGCATTTTTTCTATTTTGTTGCCTTACAACCTGAAATGAAAATTGATTTTTTGGGGTTTGTATCATTTGATTTACACAACATGCCTACCACTTTGAAGATGCAAAATAAAAAAAATTGTGAAACAAACAAGAAATAAACTTGAGCGTGCATAACTATTCACCCCCCCAAAGTCAATACTTTGTAGACCCACCTTTTGCAGTAATTACAGCTGCAAGTCTCTTGGGGTATGTCTCTACAACCTTGGCACATCTAGCCACTGGGATTTTTGCCCATTCTTCAAGGCAAAACTGCTCCAGCTCCTTCAAGTTGGATGGGTTCCGCTGGTGTACAGCAATCTTTAAGTCACACCACAGATTCTCAATTGGATTGAGGTCTGGGCTTTGACTAGGCCATTCCAAGACATTTAAATGTTTCCCCTTAAACCACTCAAGTGTTGCTTTAGCAGTATGCTTAGGATCATTGTCCTGCTGGAAGGTGAACCTCCTTCCCACTCTCAAATCTCTGGAAGACTGAAACAGGTTTCCCTCAAGAATGTCCTTGTATTTAGTGCCATCCATCATTCCTTCAATTCTGACCAGTTTCCCAGTCCCTGCCGATGAAAAACATCTCCACAGCATGATGCTGCCACCACCATGCTTCCCTGTGGGGATGGTGTTCACGGAGTGATGAGATGTGTTGGGTTTGCGCCAGACATAGCGTTTTCCTTGATGGCCAAAAAGCTCAATTTTAGTCTCATCTGACCAGAGTACCCTCTTTTTTTCTGTAAGCAATGGCTTTTTTTCTGGCCACTCTTCCGTAAAGCCCAGCTCTGTGGAGTGTACGGCTTAAAGTGGTCCTACAGTGAGGGAAAAAAGTATTTGATCCCCTGTTGATTTTGTATGTTTGCCCACTGACAAAGAAATGATCAGTCTATAATTTTAATGGTAGGTTTATTTGAACAGTGAGAGACAGAATAACAACAAAAAAATCCAGAAAAACACGTGTTATAAATTGATTTGCATTTTAATGAGGGAAATAAGTATTTGACCCCCTCTCAATCAGAAAGATTTCTGGCTCGCAGGTGTCTTTTATACAGGTAACGAGCTGAGATTAGGAGCACACTATTAAAGGGAGTGCTCCTAATCTCAGCTTGTTACCTGTATAAAAGACACCTGTCCACAGAAGCAATCAATCAATCAGATTCCAAACTCTCCACCATGGCCAAGACCAAAGAGCTCTCCAAGGATGTCAGGGACAAGATTGTAGACCTACACAAGGCTGGAATGGGCTACAAGACCATTGCCATGCAGCTTGGTGAGAAGGTGACAACAGTTGGTGCGATTATTCGCAAATGGAAGAAACACAAAATAACTGTCAATCTCCCTTGTCCTGGGGCTCCATACAAGATCTCACCTCGTGGAGTTGCAATGATCATGAGAACGGTGAGGAAACAGCGCAGAACTACACGGGAGGTCTTGTCAATGATCTCAAGGCAGCTGAGACCATAGTCAACAAGAAAACAATTGGTAACACACTACGCCGTGAAGGACTGAAATCCTGCAGCGCCCGCAAGGTCCCCCTGCTCAAGAAAGCACATATACAGGCCCGTCTGAAGTTTGCCAATGAACATCTAATGATTCAGAGGAGAACTGGGTGAAAGTGTTGTGGTCAGATGAGACCAAAATCGAGCTCTTTGGCATCAACTTAACTCGCTGTGTTTGGAAGAGGAGGAATGCTGCCTATGACCCCAATAACACCATCCCCACCATCAAACATGGAGGTGGAAACATTATGCTTTGGGGGTGTTTTTCTGCTAAGGGGACAGGACAACTTGACTGCATCAAAGGGACGATGGACGGGGCCATGTACCGTCAAATCTTGGGTGAGAACCTCCTTCCCTCAGCCAGGGCATTGAAAATGGGTCGTGGATGGGTATTCCAGCATGACAATGACCCAAAACACACGGCCAAGGCAACAAAGGAGTGGCTCAAGAAGAAGCACATTAAGGTCCTGGAGTGGCCTAGCCAGTCTCCAGACCTTAATCCCATAGAAAATCTGTGGAGGGAGCTGAAGGTTCGAGTTGCCAAACGTCAGCCTCGAAACCTTAATGACTTGGAGAAGATCTGCAAAGAGGAGTGGGACAAAATCCCTCCTGATATGTGTGCAAACCTGGTGGCCAACTACAAGAAACGTCTGACCTCTGTGATTGCCAACAAGGGTTTTGCCACCAAGTACTAAGTCATGTTTTGCAGAGGGGTCAAATACTTATTTCCCTCATTAAAATGCAAATCAATTTATAACATTTTTGACATGCATTTTTCTGGATTTTTTTGTTGTTATTCTGTCTCTCTCTGTTCAAATAAACATACCATTAAAATTATAGACTGATCATGTCTTTGTCAGTGGGCAAATGTACAAAATCAGCAGGGGATCAAATACTTTTTTCCCTCACTGTATGGACAGATACTCCAATCTCCGCTGTGGAGCTTTGCAGCTCCTTCAGGGTTATCTTTGGTCACTTTGTTGCCTCTCTGATTGGGCGGCCCTCTCTTGGCAGGTTTGTTGTGGTGCCATATTCTTTCAATTTTTTAATTGTGCTCCATGGGATGTTCAAAGTTTCTGATATTTTTTTATAACCCAACCCTGATCAGTACTTCTCCACAACTTTGTCCCTGACCTGTTTGGAGAGCTCCTTGGTCTTCATGGTGCCTCTTGCTTGGTGGTGCCCCTTGCTTAGTGGTGTTGCAGACTCTGGGGCCTTTCAGAACAGGTGTATATATACTGGGATCATGTGACAGATCATGTGACACTTAGATTGCACACAGGTGGACTTTATTTAACTAATTATGTGACTTCTTAAGGTAATTGGTTGCACCAGATCTTATTTAGGTGCTTCATAGCAAAGGTGTGAATACATATGCACGCACCACTTTTCCGTTATTAATTTTTTAGAATTTTTTGAAACAAGTTATTTTTTTCATTTCACTTCACCAATTTTGACTATTTTGTGTATGTCCATTAGATGAAATCCAAATAAAAATCAATTTAAATTACAGGTTGTAATGCAACAAAATAGGCACTGTACATTTATAATGACTCTACACACACAACCACTCACTTACAAGCTGCTGCTACTCTGTTTATCTTATATCCTGATGCCTAGTCACCTTACCCCATACATATCTACCTCAATCACTCCAGTATCCCTGCACATTGTTAATATGGTATTGGAACTTACCCTGTATATATATTCACCTTACCCCTATACATATCTACATCCATCACTCCAGTATCCCTGCACATTGTTAATATGGTATTGGAACTGACCCTGTATATAGTCACCTTACCCCTATACATATCTACATCCATCACTCCAGTATCCCTGCACATTGTAAATATGGTATTGGAACTGACCCCGTATATAGTATGCTTACTTACTTGTTGTGTATTTCATATTTCTCTTATGTTTTTTTTCTAGTATTCACTGTACTTGTGCATGTTACATTAAAACTAAAGTCTTCACCCTTACAGCTTAGTTACACCTATCTGATTCAGCTCTGCAAAAACACCTGTTGTTGTCAGCAAAGGCTTCCTACCTCTTTGTCTGTCTTGAGCAGGTTGTCAGTGGATGGGGTGTCCCAGGGTCACCCCCAGGGGTTTAACCACTGCATTGGCCACATCGCGCCCAATTGCCGGAGGGTACGAGTGAAGGACACTCAGGTGGCCCTGGTCGCTCTGCACCACCAGGTGCAGAGACCTCCACTCCGAGTACATGGTGGTGGCGTTCGCTCCTACTGGGTCCGATTGCTACCTGTGTGTACAAAGTGGAGTGAAGTCAGAATATGGGGAAACTACAGAGTGGACTGATGGCTCCAGCCTGAAGCGGACTTGATTGTAGCTGTTTGTAACTTGAATAAACACTCATAACCATTACTTATACTGACCCAAAAAATAAAACGCAACTATTTCAAAGATTTTACTGAGTTACAGTTCATAGGAGGAAATCAGTCAATTGAAATAAATTCATAAGGCCCTAATCAATGGATTTCACATAACTGGGCAGGGGCGCAGTCATAGATGGGCATAGGCCCACCCACTTGGGAGCCAGGTCCACCCACTCGGTAGCCAGGCCTGCCAATCGGAATGAGTTTTTCCCCACAAAAGGGCTTTATTCAAGACAGAAATACTCCTCAGCACTGCAGTGCTTGAGGCATCACTACTGATCCGGGTTCGATCCCGGGCTGTGTCGCAGCCAGCTGCGACCGGGAGACCCACGAGGGGACGCACAATTGTGTCAAGAAGCAGTCAAGGGGTCTGAATACTTTCCGAATGCACTGTACATCCAACTGGCCTCACAACCGCAGGCCAGGGTCGTGTTTCGGAGGACGTATGGCTCTCGACCTTCGCCTCTCCCGAGTCCGTACAGGAGTTACAGCGATGGGACAAGACTGTAACTACCAATTGGATATCATGAAATTGGGGAGAAAAAGGTGTAAAAAAAGAATAATATATTTTTTTAACATAACAAAAATAAATACTCCTCAGCAACCCCCCTCCCCCTCCTCAGACGATCCCGCAGGTGAAAAAAGCCAGATGTGGTGGTCCTGGGCTGGCTTTGTTACACGTGGCCTGCGGTTGTGAGGCCAGTTGGATGCATTCGGAAAGTATTCAGACCCCTTGACTTTTTTTCACATTGTTACGTTACAGCCTTATTCAACAATGGATTGTTTGTTTTTTCTCCTCAATCTACACACAATACCCCACAATGACAAAGCAAAAACAGGATTGTATTTTTTTGTGCAAATTTATAAAACATTACATTACATTTCTAACTGAAATATCACATTTACATAAGTATTCAGACCCTTTACTCAGTACTTTGTTGAAGCACCTTTGGCAGCGATTACAGCCTCGAATCTTCTTGGGTATGACGTTACAAGCTTGGCACACCTGTATTTGGGGAGTTTCTCCCATTCTTCTCTGCAGATCCTCTCAAGCTCTGTCAGGTTGGATGGGGAGCGTCTCTTCAGAGATGTTCGATCGGGTTCAAGTCCGGTCTCTGGTTGGGCCACTCAAGAACATTCAGAGACTTGTCCCGAAGCCACTCCTGCGTTGTCTTGGCTGTGTGCTTAGGGTCATTGTCCTGTTGGAAGGTGAACCTTCGCCCCAGTCTGCGGTCCTGAGCGCTCTGGAGCAGGTTTTCATCAATGATGTCTTTGTACTTTGCTCCGTTCATATTTCCCTCGATCCTGACTAGTCTTCCAGTCCCTGCCGCTGAAAAACATCCCCACAGCATGATGCTGCTGCCACCACCATGCTTCACCGTAGGGATGGTGCCAGGTTTCCTCCAGACGTGACGCTTGGCATTCAGGCCAAAGAGTTAAATCCTGGTTTCATCAGACCAGGGAATCTTGTATCTCAAGGTCCGAGTCCTTTAGGTGCCTTTTGCCAAACTCCAAGCGGGCTGTCATGTGCCTTTTACTGAGGAGTGGCTTCCGTCTGGCCACTCTACCATAAAGGCCTGATAGGAAGAGTGCTGCAGAGATAGTTGTCCTTACGGAAGGTTCTCCCATCTCTACAGAGGAACTCTGGAGCTCTGTCAGAGTGGCCATCGGGTTCTTGGTCACCTTCTTACATTCAAGAATGATGGCCACTGTGTTCTTAGGAACCTTCAATGCTGCAGAATGTTTTTGGTACCCTTCCCCAGATCTGTGCCTCGACACAATCCTGTCTCGGAGCTCTACGGGCAATTCCTTCGACCTCATGCTTGGTTTTTGCTCTGACATGCACTGTCAACTGTGGGACCTTATATAGACAGGTGTGTGCCTTTCCAAATCATGTCCAATCAATTGAATTTACCACAGGTGGACTCAAATCAAGTTTTAGAAACATCTCAAGATTGATCAATGGAAACAGGATGCACCGGAGCTCAATTTCGAGTCTCATAGCAAAGGGTCTGAATACTTATGTAAATAAGGTATTTCTGTTTTATATTTTCAATACATTTGCAAACAAATCTTAAAATCTGTTTTCGCTTTGTCATTATGGGATATTGTGTGTAGATTGATGAGGAAATGTATTTATTTAATCAATTTTAGAATTAGGCTGTAACGTAACAAAATGTGGAAAAGGTCAAGGGGTCTGAATACTTTCCGAATTCACTGTACTGCCAAATTCTCTAAAACGACGTTGGGGGCAGTTTATGGTAGAGAAATTCACATTCAATTCTCTGGCTACAGCAATGGATGGATTATCTTGGCGAAGGATAACTGTTCACTAACAGGGATGTAAACAAATTTGTGCACAAAATGTAAGCGAAATAAGCTTTTTGTGCATCCGGAAAATTTCTGGGATCTTTTATTTCATCTCATGAAAAATAGGACCAACACTTTACATGTTGCGTTTATATTTTTGTTCAGTATATAAAGTGGACCCTGAAGCAGACTTGGTTGTAACTTGAATAAACACCCATAACCATTACATAGAAAGTGGACCCTGGTGCTGATATTCCCACAAGTGTATATTCAGTTTGACCTTTTCATGTAGTTTGAAAAGTCGACATATGCCAAACGTGAACTATGCGTGATAGGGAACATTTGAAGTTGACCAACGCTGTGCATAGGCGCTAGCTATATAACAAGTTAACATTGAACTGGAGTGAGCCTTGACGTGTTATTTCCAGAATGATCTGAATGGAATGTTAACAGAAAGGGCTCACTGAGTGCCAAATGCACACTTGAACTGGACTGACCACCTGGCACTGACTCTCCACACATGCACTCACTCAGATACACAGTACACTCATCCACACACAACTGCTGCTACCAGACTCTTATTATTGCTAAATAATCCAAAACACATACAAACATGTGACTATAAATTGAGTTAAATGCTTATGCGAAATGTTTTATTATATTCTACTGACCCATTTAATTTATATGTTCGTATTCTTATCTGTTATTATTTCTTATTGTTGTGGCATTGTTGAGAAGGAACCTGCAAGGAAGCATTTTGTTGGACGGTACCATGTGTATCCTGTACATACCACTAATACTAGGGATGTCAAACGTTCAGGCTGTGCAGCCAATACGCTCTAGTCTAGAGCACCCGGTTAAATTGTGTTTGAGAGCATTTTTTAACTCTCTAAAATGGTTAAATGAGTGAGAAAGATGATGTTGTTGCAATATACTATCATCTTAAATTGACATGTCAAATTAATTAATTATTAATATTATTATTTTTTAAATTTAATTAATTAAATTATTTTGCCATATTCATTTACTGTATATTGCGCTAATTTCCCTAATGTGGTAACAGTTTGTGTTACTACCTTACACAAGCTTGCATTTTCACCTCATAAAATTTAGCGGAATTACACATCCTTTTAACCTCAGATTGGTGATTGTTAGTATAAAAGTGTATAGGTCATCACAATGACATAAGATTGATTGCTTAAAACAGATCAATATCTTTGGTTTTGTACCTTTGATTTAGTCACACGCACTGGGATGCTCAGGACTTAGAACGCGGAGTTAATGAAATGGCCAGGAAATGGCACGGTCTCTCTAGAAAAGTCGCTGGCCATACACCAATACATGGATTTGACGGTCAAACTTGAACTTAAATAGCAGTCAACCATTGTCACGGTTGATATCCTGTGCCGCGTCGTGATTATTTTAAGTTAACAGAAAAAGTGGTCTGTTCCCTTTTCCGTGATGGCAGCCTCCGAAATCAACATTGGGCATTCCAAAATATAGATATACATTCTCATCTAACCAATCATGTATAGGTTATTCCAAGTTTCCATGTGGCCTTTGAAAAGTGTTAGTTTAAACAGCACTACAAGCCAAACATTTGCCCCCTGTTCTATCGATTTCAACGTGATATTGATGGAAGAAAAAAAGTCTTACGTTACACGTGCAACCTCAATTTCCCCCTCTCGCGCAATTGATTTAAACGCGATAACTATGAGTGATTGACAATCAATAAGTGTTGCGTTTCTTCTTCTGTTTTGGTGACCCCCAAATCAAAATGCATCACTCCAAAATGGATCTGACTGTCTTCTGCAGATTGTTCGCTAACCAGTGCTGTAAAAAATATATCCAGTTTCCATGTGTTTCTTTTTGTTGTTGTGTTCGTTTCAACAGCACATACAACCTGATTTCCCCCGTAATCTATATCAGCGATTTATTGCCACTTGTCAAAACAACAGGGTTTTTGGTGCATGTGCAATTTATTAGATGCTCGGAATATGATTATTGTTGCACATGTATGTGTAGATAGTACATTTTTTGTTTAGGTTTTCAATATATCACAAACTGTTTCTGCATATTGGTTATTGATTTGGACACGTTAAAACTGTTTTGACATTGGGCTATTTATCAAAATGTCTTGTGAACAGGAAGCAGCGACAGCATCATTTTCAACGTAAGTTTCAGTAATATAAATTGAAGCAGAGTCCCCACTTTAAATCTTCGACAAACCTATAACTATTATTTGGAACACTACTCCTCTTACACAGTTTAAATTTTGGAAAAGCATTCCAGGTGAAGCTGGTTGAGAGAATGCCAAGAGTGTGCAAAGCTGTCATCAAGGCAAAGGGTGGCTATTTGAAGAATCTCAAATCTCAAATATATTTTGATTTGTTTAACACGTTTTTGGTTACTACATTATTCCATATGTGTTATTTCATAGTTTTGATGTCTTCACTATTATTCTACAATGCAAAAAAAATGAAAAAAATGAAGAAAAACCCTTGAATGAGTAGGTGTGTC